TTTTTAGTCTAAAACGCCAAAAAAACAGACCGCATACAATCTCCTTAAGAGGTTGTCAGCTGCTACTCCAGCCATATTTTTCGATTCATAAGACTTCGGCAAAACTTCCTCGGCCCGCAATTAGCGATCAGCGCTACTATAGTCGGTCCGTGGTCGTAGGTGATCTGCTTTGATCAACAGTTCATATTGCCATTCGACATTCATTCTAATTAGTTGATCAACTTCACTGTATACTTAGAAGAGGTAATATTTTTTTTAGCCAAAATTGCTTCCTAAAGATGTTTTGTGCTCAATATTAAAAGAAAATGAAATTTGAGGAAGAAATAAAGGAGGCGGAGTGGTTTGACCACACGGCACACCATACTTCATAAATAGATGTAAGATGATAGAGCCATAAACGTCGGTACGTGTCGGTTGCACTGACGTGAAGTAATTACCGTCCATTTTATATTTATGAACGTGATCTGTTAGCAGGTCGAGTCTAAGAAAATATTATGTACGCTTTTTTCGTAGTTATAATGCAACGTGTGTAAACAAGATGAGATATCAATCCTTTTCCCTTTTTATATACTAATTAAATATATAAATTAAGTCAATTACATTGTTATGAATCTCATTTTGTTTTAGTGATTAATTTACTTTTATTGTACAATAATACTGTTCCGACCCGGCGTTTCCCGGGGTAAAATAATTATAAATAAGATAAGAAAAGTCAGTACTCTAGGCTTTAAAGCTTTAGCATACTCCGTCTCAGTTTTTTTACATTACACATTATATTGATTATGTCCCCCTCTTACTCAAGGGTCCCAGTCCCGGTCCCAGTCTCAGTCCCAGATCCAGTTCCAATCGTGAAAAGCGTCCCCAGAATCGTGGTACATAGAATCGGCCTGTTCCTTTAATCATCACCTACCATTCGCTCGAGTACCGTGGTTACCATGGTTACTAACCAAGTGTTTATTTTGGGTTAGCAACGGAAAAAATTTCGTATTTGAAGTACAAAGTTCGTGTTTGAGGCCATTCTTAGGGGTAGAATTTTCGAAAAGTACTATGCCAGTTAGGTTCGCGGGAGTGTACTCGACAACTTCCCAAAGTTTCATGGCGATCGGATGAACGGTGTACTAATGCATAAAGGACAGACAAACAGACAGACATTCATTTATACATATATATAGATAATATTTGAATAATACTATTTCTAAACATTATAGCCCCAAAATCAGACCTATTGACATATATAAAAATAAAATAATAAATTATTTGTGATGATTCATCTTTTTTACATCTCTATTGCCTCCCTAATATTAAGTTCTTTGGAACTATTTACAGTTTTAAGTAATTTTATTGATTTTGTGCTCTGATTGGGGTCCATTAAAATATGTTCTACGTTCGGAGATTTATGAAATGTTAAGAACTAAGAATAATTTGTTAATTCCATTCCAAAATGTTTTATAATAATTTGTAAAAACATGTGGTGAAGATGAGTCATCACTTCCGGTATGGCGTAGTAGATGAGCGCTGCTGTATAAGTAATAGGTATAGAGACGGAGGCTGTTTGCCCGCAATAATTGTTCTTACAATTAGTGTCGTGAGCGCTGATGATGACAACATCACTACCGAAATACACGTATAATTTTTTGGGGTGTGTTTAAATATTTTATTATCTTATTACTTGTTATATATGTATAAACACAAGTGTTACTCAGGTTTTGTCTACACCGAAATTGTCAGAAAATTAAACTTGGGATGTACTTATATTGATTAAGAATGTAATAAATAACCCTTCGCAAAAACTGTTTGCTACCATTAATTTATGATTAACATAGATAAGTTTTCAATGCAAGCGATCATATTAATTTCTGAATAATTTCTAGATATAGCTACTAGTACTAAATCTCAAGCTTATTATTTTTTCACCTCGCCAGTTTTCATTCGGTCGAATGGATTAAATAATGAATATTGCGACTTCCATCGATAAGAGAAAAATTAATTAATTGTAAGCTGGAACTCAATTATACGGTTTACCGTGCCCACCCAATTAGGTATTGTGTAATATGACTAATTACAAAATAATAGAATTGTTCTTAAACGTTAGTATTAAAAATAAAACTGAATATAATCTAGTAATAATCGATGCATGCAAAGTTAAATGCCACACGGAGGTTAATAATGCAAAACCTGTTATACCAGTAGTTACAGTATACGTGTATAATCACATGCATAGCTATTTTGTACCTTATAAATATTATGACGTCTCTGTTTGACTGTAGACTTTTCGTGATGCGTTAAAATACAAATAAAAAAATAACATATGTTAAACGAATTTGTCTGACAAGTATTCCTCGTTAATTTTTCAGACATAATATAATAATATTATCATTATCCAATAGTTATATTACATTATGATGACTCATTTGATTTTTTTTTATGATAGCTGTTCACCGGAGCCCTAAACGACAATATTGTAGGCTAAGTTCAAAAAACCCGCGTCGTTATAGTCATCGCATTTGATTATTCACGTATATAGTTCCGATATTTCCTATTCTTAGTGCGGTAATGTCATATTGAACATACTCTTATTTCTCTAGTGAAATTAATCTCTCATCCCAGAGTCTTAGCTTTGGCAATTTTTCACTGACGAATTCATTCTTAATAAAGATAACATTTATGAGCCATCGTGAAGTAGAGACTGTTAGTAATTCTCGTGAGTCCAACACTCACTGTTCTAGACAATACAGACCATACCATATAATATTGGCTATTGTGTGGTATGTTAACATAAGGGAAGCTTCAGACTCTCTAAAAAAATTTAGACTATTTGCACATAATATGCTATGGAGAACGATGTTGTTTTGACTTTTAGATAAACCATTTATTTAATGGACTACATATATATGGTAGGATGACACAAGTAGCTTATGTGTCAATTTTTCCGACGTTAGGGAAAATACAATTTCACCTTTTAATTAATACTAAAATTCTAAAATTGCTTTGTTATTTCCATATATATATTCCTTATGAATCTTGAACCTACGTGACAACAAATCGGGGGTTCAAACTGATAATTTTTAGTAATTGTTAATTTGAAAATTTGTTCAGATAATCTCTTATAAAAATCTCTGTCAAAAAATAACTATTTATTCTTCGGAAACTTCTGAATTTTCAAATATGTCTGATGTCCCACAATAAGTCAAATTCTAATGCAACAAAGTACAAACAAATATCAAAAAAGTCGTCTGTCTGTGATATAATAACATAATGTATTATAATTAGTATTTTAGTATAAATTGTAAAACTACTAATAATGGATGTATCCATTATTTTTCAGTATTGTTTTTAAGACATACCTACATTATTTTTGTGTTGTACATAAAATTGTTCGCACGTTTTCGACATTTATCTATCAGTTGTTTTATGTAATTGAACACAGGTAGTATGCGATTAAGGTAATTATTATTTAACTAATTCGTTCACTCTAGTCTTATAAAACTGCCGGTCAGGACGTGCCGTAGACTTCGAACGACTTAATTTCATTCAGTACTGTTGAAATATAAAAAAATAATTGATAAACGGCGATAATTCATATTTTCGTTAAAAAAATGTTAAAAACAACGTGTAATTCATGTAGAATTCATAACCATTAAGAGATAATATTTACATTTTAGGATAAGACTTCCAAAACAAATAGTATAAATAATAATTATAGTAGGCATAGGTTAACAGGTATAAATCACAACAAATATGATATCCGCTATATCATATATTACATTACGTAGGCATTAGGCAAGTATACCTTTGCTACAACAACATTATTCATTAGCGAGTAAAGTAAAAACATATTAGCCACTAAATAAAAGTACTGCTCGTGATTGTCTTCAAATAACATCAAAATTTACACAGCGTGCTATAATAATATTTATTATAACCAGTCGTATACCAATTCCCAGAGTTCAGCACAAAAGTCCAAATGTCTAATATATTTTTTAATTTTTTTTTAATATTTTATAATTATTTTGTTAGCCAAAAGTTCTTGCCTACAAAATATTCTTTGGGTGTAATAAAAAACCTTAAAATATAATAATAATAAAGTTTTGAAAAGTTTATAATTTCGTGTCGTCGGGGTAATAATGAGTTAAATTATCAGATATAAGGCAAACTTCTTTTCAGGAACTTCATCGACTAATTCCAATTGTAATTTTTTTTTTTTAGACGGCTTTCCGTCTATTCTAATTTGATCTAATTTAAACAATATACAATTTAAATAAGAGAAAATAATAATGTGAAATAAACCGAAGAATATTGTTTTGATCTTTTTCAATTTGATCACTGACCGATATTGTATGTTATTCATACAATTGAAGCATATTGCCGGGGACGACTAATAGAGGCGTAAAAACATTTTAATGTAAAACTTTTGGATCGTTTAAACGATAACACAAGTAGTGTCAGTAGTCACAATTATTTAGCAATTATCCTATACAAATAGACTATCGATTTTTTGACAGAACGATTTTACTGTATTTATTATCCCATGACATAGATGATTGATATAGATTAAAGATGAATAAATAAATTTTATTATAAAATCATGGAAAGCCAAGTGGAAGTACAGAAATGGTATTCGGTTGTTTTATTTTTACCGATTCACAGGCGACGTATTCATGTTAAAAAGTTGCGGATGTACATATCTTGATACCTAACGTGTTTTTCTTTTGAAATTTAATCCAGTGCGCAATAGATATTTGATTTTTAACGCAAACCGATAAGAAAAAACTTATAAGGACTTTGCATGTACCTAGTATAAAACGATTCGAGATGCCATTAACGTAGTCCATATTCTTGCACAGTAAAACCAAAAAAATATTATCAAAAGAAATAATAAAATAGCTAGAACGGAATTTAGTATAATAAACATTTAGTATAATTTAACACAATTTTATTATTATTTACAAAAATATATGTACAATATATATAATAATATAAATATAATAAGTGTTCTACACAGAAAAAAATAGTAGTAGGATACATTTTTTTGAAGTATGCATAGACATCATTTTGAAATCTCTCTTTTATTATCAATAATTTGATTTTCTATTTTTACTCAAAGCTCGTGGAATAAAAACACGGGTCTAACTCTACACGAATAATAATATTATGGTAACATATATCAAGGCAAGTCAAAAATTTAATAAAAATAAATAAACAAACAAAATTCAAGTATAATATAACAAAACTGTATAAGGTATTTTGGTCGGTTTTTGATTAATAAAAAAGAGGAGGGATTTATGAATATTATTATCATTATTATAAATATAAAAGACTAGTTTATGACCATGATTTACAAAACAATATAATAATGTTCACTGGTCGGTGTACAAAAAGCTAAAATAATATACAGGTATAACACAAAAAGAGGAGTATTTTATGATTAATTTAATTGGAGGACACAGTTTATATGTGGGGGCGAGGGGAGGAAAGGGGAGGGAGGTGACTTAAAAGAGGAATCCGAGTTTCTTCACTTAACATAAAGATCATTGAGTCCACGCCCGTTTCAGCGGTTTCGAGAGCATTCGATTTTATTTGTCAAATGTATATAATAATAATTATAATAATGATCACAATAAATCATTTTTGTAAAAACCTTCGAATGAAAATGAACAAAAAAAATATATATAAAGAAACCCCATCTCGTATCAAGAGGCGTATAAAAATAATAGTAAAAAAAAAATTAATAATAATATAATATCTTTGGGCGACGCTGTGTGTGTGTGTGTTTGTGTGTTTGGTGTACGACGGTGGTGACAGCCGCGGCGGCGGACTACCTGCACCCGCAACCCAGTACTTGCATGTCCTGATAGTTCTTGAGCACTACCTTGTTATCCTCGTCCAGGTATAACATGGATATGGACGCCAACTGGGTGGGCACGCAACACGCTTTGGGCACTGCGGTCGGGTTCATCGAGTTGACCAGCGTTTGCACGATGGCGTGGTTGGTGGTGTTAAGGTGTTCGGCGACCGGGAACGGGCAGTCGCCTTGACAATAGTATGCGTCGTAACCGGGCGGCGCGACGATCCAGTCATCCCAGCCGACGTCCGTGAAGTCCACGTACAGCGGATGCCTCTGGCATATATTGCGGCCTGCGCCGCCGTCTTTTCGCCGCTTGTTGCCGCTCCGCTGCTGCTGAGACGCCGACCGCTTCCGCCGAGGCGGTCCCACCGGCCTGCTATTTTTGCCGTCGTCCGAGTACACCAGCAGGGCAGGCCTGTTTCCTGCCCGCAGCTCGAACGTGCCGGGTATGGGCGCTCGGCCGCCGCCGCCCGTCAGCGTCTCCACCAACAGGCCGTGGTTGACGTCCGCCCATCGGGCCTTGTCGTGTTGATGTTGCTGCGACCACCTTTCAAGGGCGGGCGTTACGTCCAGCGTAACGGCTTGGTCACCGTTCTCCTCGAGGTCTACGTACTGCGAGTCCAAAAGCCGCAGCACAGGTTTGGATACGCCCCGAACGCCAGGCTGGACGATGTCGTGGACGAGCACTTGCACGCGGGTCGGATGGCCTTGCGGCCGGCGGGTTAGTGGCATTAGCCTCAGTTCAGCCGCTGTCAGCCATTCCCCTTCCGGTAACGGGTCTACAGCAAACTGCAAACGATATTTTCGGCACTTAGGATTTTTTGGTTCCGATTCTGGAATAAAAAAAATAAACCATTATTAAAACAATCGGATTGCAGAAAATGAGCTAGCAATTAGCAATTAGTAGCATGACGGAGGAAGTCGTAGTACGACTTAATATATTGTAACGAGGGAATGGTTAAATCAGACAGACGACACATGAATACCATGGGAAATCAATCAAAGAAACTGTTACGTTAAATTAAGTTTTTAGGCAAGGATTCAAAACGTAACCAGATTGAAATTACGAACGAAACACGATTTTTATTTTGTTCCTCTGTAATTTTGGTAAGTTTTCAGTCCTTGTCTTGAGGTGGTAGATTAGCGGGCGAGCTACGAGGCCTCAGACTCTTGAGTAGCCTTTGAGTATAAGGGTCGAAGTGGCCGACTAAAAATTGCCGTGAGTAACGGTAGCCGCCGGCCATCGAGATAGAGGTAGAAGATAAGTACACCGTGACGGTTAAAAAGTAATTGGGTATTTTTGTTTTTGTAATGAAAACACATTTCATAGCACAAAATTCGATTACGAAACGATTTGGCACGACGCACACTGAAAGGTGAATGAAACCGGCTCAAGTTCACGTCGGTTATCTTGGGCAAAAAGTAAATGCAGAAAGAGCGCAGCGCCGTTTTAAAATTAATTACAATTATAAACGCAAATATTGATTTCGAAGTTCATTCGCCGCTCGAGCAATAGTAATAATATCATAATTACAACTATTGAGCGATACACGCTTAAACTCTGTCCTGCTGTTGATTAGCAGATAAAATATTAAATCAAACGCAGAATACTGGTACAACTATAAAAAAAAAGCGTATTAAAATTTTTGGTGCACATAATATCAGATAAGTAGTCAACATAATAAATGTATAGTATCAATACATTGTAAATGTACTTTTTATTAAAAGATACACAATATGCTGTATATCCCCAAATGACTATACCTGTGAATGATGACAATTTTTAATTATTAAATAATTTAAAAAAACTGTGAAAATGTGGTTATTTTTAACCATTCCTTGCAACAAGCCTTTCAATCTTGCAAAGCTCTATTATATACAAAGTGAATCAATTATTTTGTTCTTTACCAATTTAATTGATTACATCGGTTAAATAAAAATTACATAAATAACTAAAACATAGTCGTTCTGAGACATACTGTATACAATACACGCGCCGTGTATGTATTGTATCTTTTAAGCATTGGCCTTGATCTTACAACGGAAAACAAGTTTAAAATTAAATCGGAATAATTTGTTTACCTAAATTTAAAAGTATGTTTGTGATTAACTTATTGTCTTCGATTATGGTATTTTAATTTATGAAAACAGCCTAACCCCTGTACAAAAATAACGCTTACATAGTATTTATTAAAATATTATTATTAATATTATCATCTAAAAAATAAGTTAGGTATCTCTTAATCAAAACATTAACAAAAACGAAACAGTATCATTTTTCCCCATTATTTTGTTTGTTATATTAATATTTTATGGAGTACATATTAGTTCATAATACCTGTGTGCGTTTATCTCTTTTAAAAACGACTATTTTTATTTAATCGTTATTTGTAAGTCGATTGGACCTCAATGCATTAAGTCAATATAACATAAGAGTTATTTTATAAGGAGATGAAAGCACATATTATTAGGCCAAACAATTTAGAATGTCCTTTCAATTACTCAAAAACCAGAATAGCCAAATTCATGAGAAAAAAAAATACTTAAGAAATAATGATTTATAAAAGAAAAATATCGTAGGTGTGTCATGTTCTTATCATATAACATACGAATAAAAGTAATAAAGAAAGTTGTCAATTTATTACACAAATATATACACACACACACACAGTGTTTATAAACGATATAAATTATTATTAACTGATTAATTATTATTTAACATAACTCATAAATAAATAAACAAATATTTATCTATTTAAAATTGTTTATTTAAAGTATTAATTTTATTTACAATAGATCTCTAAGATGTTTATTTTTTTCATTAACTATGTAAATTTGTAATGTAGACAAAACAGTGCAATGCACGATGAACAATGGGTGACTTGCTTGGTAACACGTTACACGAATGATAAAAATTAGAAACATCAGTCAGAAGATTGAAGATCAGCAAGAACATGCACCGTTGTAAAATTTCTTATAAATAAATTATGGTTTTAAATTAATATAGACAATATTGTGTTACTTAACTTGCATAACCTAACTATACATGCGATATAGAAATTCTATGAGTTCAAACCTTAAAAATAAAATGAACTTTCGATCACCTCATGATAACTCCGTCAATTGAGCATAACATAATACATAGATAAAGGGTTCGACCAATAGTCTATAATATTGTATTTACTATTAGGGTGAAATATTCGAATTATTAGTAGCACGCAAGCATTTCTAAGTATCATTAGTTAATACGTTTAAGACAAATCCTATACCTACTATAAAATTACTCTCTCTCTTTCTTTCAATCTTTCTATATTACAATTATAAACCATATGCACAAAGAAAAGATACAACTTTACCGACCTGTAAACACTGTAACCCGAAACGACAAGAACAATGGCTGTTTACGACCCAAAACTAACGGCCTTAAAATATTTACTCGCTTTTATCCGTTGGTCGTCGTCATATTTTTCTTAATGTTGACATTTCCGATAAATTGCAATGGGAAACCGAATACAGTCACTACCTAGCAAAAACATCTACCAGTTTACTTAGACTAAATGAAATTAAGTTTATAATTCGAATGACATGGGGTAGACATATTAGTATGTTAATTTTAGCAAAATTTGTGCGACATTTCAGTCAAGAGACGAATCATTTCTGGACATACACGAACAGTGCAGTGCTAGAACTGTATACTCTGACAACTATACTGTCCCTTCCCTTCATTACTCCTTAGCACAGCCTTGAGCACAAATCATGAAAATCTGCACGGTAAGCAAGCGTTAATTATTTAATTTATATTTATAAAAACACCCATCTACTTTAATAATTGTCATCATTTTTATTAGGTTTAATTAATAATTTCACCCACACGTGTACAACATTTAATTAATCGAACGCCAATGATACAAACTAATAACATTGATAATGTATAGGAAATATTATTATCAACAAATCTAGGTTATTGAGAAATACTTAATTGCATGCGGTCTGTTTTTCTACGTTATAGACCAAAAACCCAGACAAAATTTCGACTACTTAGTAATGGTCCGATTTTAATTTTGTAAAGATATAAGAGTTCTTTGAAAATTTTACTAGGTTATGTAAGAAACAGATTTTTTATTTTTGTATATAACAAAATTGGGTTTAAATATTGAAAAAATTGCAAATTAAATTTATTCAACTATAAGAAACTGAATTTTTTTAAATTTGTTTCCTACACAATACAGTAAAGTAGCAAAAGAACTCAAATCTTCTTACAGAATTGAAATCGGACCATCTTATGTAGTCGAAATTTTGTCTGGCTTTTTGGTCTAGAATAAACCAAAATAGCTTTTACTCATAGAAAAAACTATTTGAATTAAACTTGTTGCCTTAAAACTTATTTAAATTAATTGTAAATTAATTGACATGATCGAAATTGATTAAAATCTCCTATTTCTTAAATATTGCCTACACAAAACTCCTTAAACACAGGCCGCATGCAATCTCCTTAAAGAAATTATTTGAAAGAAAACTAAGCGCCGCATTAGTGTGTTATAAAACATTCAAATTAATTTGAAGAACTCTCAACACTGTTTTAAGGCTTTATTCTCAATTTCTAGAACGTTGCGTCGACAAACAGCAGGTAAACATTTAAGCAAAAAAAAAATGCCGAAGAGCCGTTAGTGACTTGTGTACTCTAGAGTACAATAGAGATTAGTTAAGATTTTTTTATACTTCGAACCAACAAAAGAAAGACGTCAGCCGAACCGCAGACTAATTATTATATATTATTTCAAGGATCAATTTTTTTATTTTTTACTCATTTACACAAGACGACGACTAGTAAAAAGGAAATTGTACTGTCATACGCGGCTAAAGTGATAAACTCGCTCTTTGTCTAATATGAATAACGATGCGGTTGTTTGCTGCAAGAGTCTTGTTTAGTATTTTCTTATTGGTCTATTATTAAGCGTCACACTTATCACGACAATGGTAAATTATAAAAATTATACATTGGAGGTTTTTTAGTACTTTTTAAAAAATGCGGTTTTTAACGCACTTACGTTTATACAGGTTTCTTTTAACCATAGACTGCATGTTTTTCTTTTGAAAAAAAAAATACAACATATAGTATTAAACGAGGATTCTAGTAAAAATAGTATAAAAAAAATGAATATATTTTTCGTAGTAAATTTTTTTTTAATTGTTTGGCTTATTCTAGGCTATTTAGGACCATTGCCGCTTCCACGACATATTTCCACGTCTATCTATGAAAGGCAGCTCTTCTCCATTTAACACCCCAAGATTTTTAGATCTCTTTAACTTGATCCTTCCACCGTTGTTTAGGCCTTCCCCTTGGTCGTATTTTATTTGGTTGACTCTCTGCCTTCCATACGTGCCCGACCGGCGGCCCATCTTGATCTCTGGCTCTTGGCTATGCCCACTACAATGGGATCGTTAAATAAAGTATTCAGTTATCTGTTTGTTCTTTTTTCGTAGATGCTTTCTTCATTTTTCTTTGGTCCAAATATTCTTCGAAAAGTTTTTCTCACGAATATCATTAGTTTGTAATCGTTAGACTTGGTGGATGCCCATGATTTAAATAGTTGGATCAATGAAAAATTGCATTTGTTAATCCAGCTGTGATTCTTCTATGTAAATCTTTGTGACTAGTGACTATCGAGTTTATATCTACCGACAGCCTCTAAGTATTTAAAGTTAAGGATGCTTTTAAATGACCGGCGTTAATCTTTATCGCATTTTGCGGATGTTCAAACGTCGATACAACAATCATACATTTGGATTTGTTATCATTAATGATAAGACCAATCTTTCGCTGCACCAATTAGGTTTCGGTTGTTCTTTTGAGACTATCTTCTGTCACTGCTATCTACACCTATATCATATGCATAGAAATTTCTAAATACAAACAGAAAGAACTTAAAAGAAACTGAACGTAATAGAAGCAGGTTTACTTATAAATTGCTTCATAATGTGCATTCAAACAACATAAACAAGAATTGGTCAAGCTGTATTTTGTCTTAGTAGAAAAAAATAGGAAGTGTTCTCGAACACAAGGTTCTCGATATTTGTAAATGAAATCCTATAAAGTGTCCCGATTAATGCGGTCCCCGTGACCGAGAGAGTGTATTGTAAATGTTACTGAGTGTATCTTTGCATTCTTGGCATTGTAAAATATTTTATAGCAAGATCATTTGGGTGAAATTAGAACGTACGCGGCAATAAAGTTATTTTTTCGAAAGTTTTTTTTTTTTCACTAATTTATAAGAAGTCACTTTACGGTGTCGTGATGTTTTATAGAAAAAAAAAATCATAATAATAAAGACAAATAGTATACAAACGTTCGTGCTTCGTTAATTTAACTAGAAACCGGTTGGGACGCTCTTCGATTTAGCGATCATTAGATCTATACGACGGTTACAAATAATATAATCGCTTATCTGATACAAACGAATACAACATGAAGGTAATAGAAAAGTTCTTTTCTTTAGTCAATAAAATCTAATGTATAATTTATTATCTACTAAAAAAACCACAGTAAATAAAAAATAATTACTGTATTTGGTACAAAAATAACTAGCAACTTGGGTCAAAATAGGTGAAAATTGTAATTTTTGGTAAATGAGCTTAAGTTTTTTAAATCCTTACGGGTTTTTTTTTTACAAAATTTCTCAAAATTGTTTACGGTTTGTCCAATAAGCTCTATTGTTTTACATAGCATGAAAGGTGTTTTAATTTAAATTTTGAGTAGTCTTGACTTCTAAAGTCAAAACTTGATATTGGCCATTGATATCACGTGTCAACTTGATCAATGATCTATTATTACTTGAAACATTCGTACATTAAACTTATGATATTTATTGAGTCTCGGAAACTACCTCTGCACCATATCTTTGCACTATAGACATACTTTTTTAATAGCAGGTATACTAATTAAATATCCAAACTCAGAATGGGTATTTTAAGAAACAACAGAGTCAATAACATAATTAATAGTCAATAATTATTAGTCGCACGCCGAAATGTACAAGGTACACCATTTGGTCAATTGGTTTAGTCATATCATAAGTGTTATAGTATAATATACTACAAAACTGCTGTAAGGCCATGACTGCGGGTGGCTATATTATAAAAACCCGTTAAGTCGTTAAAAAAACAAATTTCACCGTTATTAAACGTTAAATGAGGATAAGCGAACGTGACAATTGTCATATCCCACAAAAGTTGTTCAGTATTTTTTTTATTTTCATAATAAAACGTTGAATCAAGAGATGTATACGATAAAAATCTATATAGTTTAACGGCTGTCGGATGCGGTCAAAAGCAATTCATGCCAAGGGCTCCACTAGGCTGAGCATATTGAGATTCTTAAATTTGAATTTAAATAGCACTAACTACCCTAATGTAATATATAAAATCCATAGTTCTGTATAATAACATAATGTTTTTATGTAATAATGTTTTTTCATTACATCCATTACATTGGCTTTCGCGTGTCTCGTGCATATTTTGTGTTTCCATCACACGTATCACGTGGTTACTTGGTACTTAAAATTTTCCTTGCATGTTAATGAAAAATCGATGATGATTACAGTTGGCGCAGTCTTTTCGCATCGTTTTGAAAATTAACCCCATTCCAAATCACCTATTATATTACCTATGTTTTTTGTTTCTCACAAAACCATAATGTTAATGTTTTGTTAGTACTACCTTAATTTTTTTTCTCTTTTATTATTTTTATTACACAATCCATACAATTTTTATGTACAATTACAGTACTACCTTATAAACATTTTTTTTTATTGTTAAAAACCGTTTTATATCATATAGGAACATGTTTTAAACAGCTGTATTAAACATATCGACCACATGTTTAATAGTGATAATTATCGCAAACAAATATCTGTAAAATGTTTGGAGTGGCACTGTAGGCTGGAGCATTGAGAGAACATGCGTCCCATTTCTAAAGTTTAGAAATGTAAACTTTTGGTACATTTTTATAATAAAAGCCGTTTCAGGAAATTGTTGACCAGATCTGCCCCACCAAAGAAAAATATTAACGTTAATATCCAGCGCCATTAATAATAACAATTTATAAACTAAGTCAATTGATTTCTAGTATACATAAAGTCAGACGCACGCTGACGTGCACAATAAAATATAAATTCATCGCTTTATATTAATTGTCAACTATACATTTTTGACGCTGGTCGCAATCAAGTAATATTATGTTTTGCACCGATCTATCTGTAATATAGCATACGTCATAACCGGGTTTTTTGGCTTTAACTCAATATTACTTTTTATTTTATTTATTAAGTTTTAACGTCAAATCCTAGTAGCAAATTGTAAACACGTTTGTGCGTTAAGAATTTTTTTTTCTTTTACCCATAACGACCATAATAATGTATGGATTTCATTTGCGAATGGATCGATTGTATAAAAAAAGCATCGTAAAGATCGAAGTTCTGTCAGGAAAAAAAACATGATTTTAAAAATTATTACCGCCAGTTGATAATGGACAGTAATAACAATTTTACAAATAAATAAATTTTTTATTGTAATTATTTGTATTTTTGCATTGCTAACTAGTAATTACAACATATCTGATGGCAAAGATAACTACTCAGTTATCACATCGAAACTAAAGCCATTATATATTGTACAGACGGCAAAAAAATGTATGTTCAATCGCTTGTTATGTGTCTGGCCTACCTTAAGTGTAGACTTCTTGTGAATTAATACAAGAATGTGATAACTAGTTATTGATGTATTTTCCGAGAATACTACTCAGTTGTGGTGTTGCTAACGGCATCGTCGTTAAATCTAAAATATTTTTTAGGCAAACGTGTTCGTCGGCTTTTAAACGATGTCGAGGGAGAAAGGTCTTGTAACAGTTTTTTAATAGGCAAGTCGCGATTATAGTAGGACACGCGTTTGTTTTTTTCGCGTCGGTTAAGACTTAATAAAAAAAAAATTAAGACACTCACCTCGGTGAAGATACGTCCTGGCGGTGTTCGCCGACTTGACGTGACGTCCAGGCAAAGGTAATCCGGTGGTGTCGAACTCGTTGGACGCCTGCATGTTGTACAGCTCCAACATGGCGGCCGGTATCTCCACCTTAGACTTATCCACCACAGGTCGGCGCTTCATGCCCAGCGCGGCCAGCAAATGTCTCTCCGCTTTGTCAACGTCTTTGAACGCTGCTCGAGCGCCCGACGGTCTCGGCGTATCGCCGCACACTATGCCTGATATTACAGCCACCATCAACAAAACACCGCTTATCATTGTCGATCAAGCACCTAAACGGGACACACAAAAAACAACGGATGATGTAAACATTTTTGCGGACAACCAGGCAATCGCCACACAAATGTGGTCAGTACGTATCGCCTCTAAATAATTATTATATTATTGATCTAACGACAGGGCGCGTTAGGGTTGAAGCATTACAAAAGCAAGTGTCCCATTCTGATTTGGTGTAGTCTAGTCAAAAAGTTACCAAACGTGTAGACGAGTTAACTTGTTGTTGTGGACCAGATATTGTAAAAACTATCATGAGCGTTCTCGCGAATTTTGCTTAAAAATTAAGAATACCTATGTATGATAAAATGATACGCTAAATTAAACTTCTGGTGAGAGCGACCATTACACAGAGTAAGGAAAAAAAATCATAGGTGACTAACAAATATGTATCCGCTATCTCACGCGACCAAAAATCAATAATCATTAACCGATGGTTACTACAATAATTATAATTATTTTAATTAATAGAACCCTGATGTGTAAGCTAACCAATACAATTGTTGATAGTCTAAAACCATTTATTCTTGGCAACCAACATAAACTAATAAATATGGTTTTAACCAATAGATATCGATAACAGATATTAATATTATTCATTTAAGTCTAAAGCAAAAATACCAGTAGGCATAAAAAACGTTTTCCCGAGTAGATATAATAAATTTTAATCATTTACACTGAAAATTAAATACATTTAGGTAATTTAATCGAGTAATCGCGGTACAGCACGAGAAAGTACAATAACAGGTTACAAGATGTTGCTAAATCTTGTACAAATGCCCATATTGCAGTGTCGCCGCTTATCACCCATTAAATAGTTCGTTTCATAATAGAGGTAAATAATTTTTATGCGTATAGGATTTAACTCGAACCTTTGCGTGATATAATATTATAACAAATGTTGTATTCCCTGTAGGTACATTCAATTATGTTATGGCATGCTTAATATAGAAATAAACAAACGGCACGTTATAGGTACTAACAATTATTTGTACTTTATTTCTCATCGAACGTTCAGGGTACAAAATATAAACAGTCAAAGAATTTCCGAAGGTAATCGAATTAAAAAAAAAAAAAGCTACACAGATAAATCACATTGAGAAAGGTTACGTTTATCATCATTTACTAACTGTAACAATATTGTTCTATGATTACATACGAACCGTTAGGATGGACTAGAATAATAATTTAATGTAGTAAAACAATGTTTTATGATAGAGCACAAAAAACCAAAAACAAAACAACAATACCTGATGGGTGTTTTTCGTTTCGATCCAGAAAAAGACTGACACTTAACCTACACTATTAATTTTATGTAAGTCTAAAAAAACCTAATTAAGTATTTAAGTTTAAAAAAAAATCCGGCTTCTTTATAGCTCGATTGTCTATGTAGTAAAGTAGCATACATACAGAGTTTTGTTGTGTTAAAGCCCGACAGCAATTTATCTATAACATTAAAATTTAAAACCTAATCGCGTTTCGCACATCGCATGGAAGAGGAAAATCGTTTACTCCATATTAAGCAATTCTTTTGGTTAAGTTGTTTTTTTAATTCGGTGAACGCGTCCCGGGATCCGTTAACGGGATAGAACTGGCTAGAGGGTATATATGTATATAAGTATATAACACAACACTGTCATGAGTATAGACTATAGAGGTATAGGGTTTTTTTGAACGAATTCGTTATGTTACTCGACCGCACACGTGCCCGATGCCGGTGAAAATGAAACCTGCTCCGTTACCGTAGACGGATTATGTACATATAATATACTTATGCACTTATTATATTATTTTATTAGAGTAAATGATTTACAAACATTTGCACGATTGAAGAGACGATTTAAAAAAAAAAATATGACAGCACGTGACCGCCATCGCGATTTTATATATACGCTTCATTGATGATAATTTTTATTTTGTGTTATTCATCTTACACTGTACACATTTGCAAGTACAGGTATAATAAAGAAAAACGCTCCTGATTAGTATTCTATACAAAACTACATAATAATAATCCCGTCCCTTTTTTCTTTCGAACATTTTTTCTGATTTATTCCACACACAAGAGCGCGTATAATATGTGTAATTATATATTATTGTTATTTATATAATTCATACAATAATAATAGTATCAATACCATACATTAAGACGCATGTTCATAATGTATAATATTTACATTCATTAGAATCGGTGGTTTCAGGAAAACGCAACGCTCAAATTACTCAAAGACGGTCATTTTTTAACCCTGGAATTAGAGTAAAATATTTAATTGAATCTCCAACGTAGGTTTCTTAGAAATCTTTAGCCCCCACCATCAGAGCCAGAGAGAATTCAGTACAATCGTCACTGACGAATAATCTAATTAACTAATGGCCGAATGTTATTAAATAGGTAAATTTACAGCGCAATAATATCTCCTACTAAAAATATTGATCGGTACTCAACCGCAGACCAATCATTGTGATTAAATATTTTTGTTCTGCGCTTCTAACCATTAATACAGTTTTCGATAAGGATAAGAATTGTTACGATATTTAATTTAAAAGTTTATTAACTTAACTGGTATCTTGTGTTTTTTTTTCGAGTAAATACATAGAACTGTTATAAAGTCAAAGATAAATACGGAGTTTGGCGTTAAACTGAAAACATATCAAACCAATATCGAAATATATATTTTAATTTTCTAATTGTAATAGTAATATTTATAACATTTTTTACCCAAACTTCATCTTTTTATAGCTAGTCCAAGTACTTTTGATAATAATATACCGAAACCCCAAAGGTCTAAAAACGTTAATTGTTCCACCACACGGGAAACAGGACAAAATAAAATTAAGTAGAAAAACAATTTTATCTAGAAAGTTCTACAGCACAATTATTTTTTAAACTTCTTAAAAAACGCGTTTGGCCGTTTGACGATATAAATGGCGCTTTAAACATAAAATCACTGTTATTGTAAACGTTTAAAACGTCCGTTTTATCTGATATGCCAACCTTGTTTTGTGCAGTGCCACCACGTGGCCGGCTACTTTATGGACCGCCTAAACTTTATTATTTACCTGAAGCATACAAGAGTATAAGACCAGGGTAAATTCGAAAGACGCTACTCGTTGCGAGACTAAATAATTCACAACAGTTATATTTTTTATATTTTATTTTTATTATTTTTTTAACTTTATTGCCGCTTACAACTGTGGTCCCGATTTAGACAAAAGTAATACAATTCAAAGTTCAATTTAATCTTTTTTTTTGGTTTCATCTTATAATAAATATATTTTAATAATAATAAATTAATAAACCGGTTTATAACGCTATAATTGTACCTATGCATAAATAATTATTATACAACAGATCAAAACTATGTTTTTTGATTCACAATGATTGCACTATATCATTTACTTAACATGCTTCTATCCATAAATCGCCTGAAACTCAAATTTTGACCACCTAACTTTTGAGGGGGAGGGGGTTGAAAGCATATTGTTTTATTTTTCCTTTTTCGGCGTCATTATAGGATTTAAGAGTTAAAAATTAGACTGGATGTAAATCTAATCTCTAATTATAACATTAAAAATCAAAAGACAAAAATGTTTTTTTCATTATTAAAAAACCCTAAAACTATTAAAACACTAATATATATATATATATATATATATATATATAATAATATAATCGTTTTATATATTTGTTTTTTTTTTTCATTTAATATAATATAACAAATACCTAATGATTTTTTTCTATCTATAAATGTCTTTAAACCGTATGTTTTCAACAAAAAAATATGTGCGTGTGCCGTCGGTCGTTAGATTTATCGCGAACGGGCGTGGGAGAAAGAAACGCGTTGATAGCGCGATTGCCGGCGTTATACCGCTGGATCTCATTTAATATACTTTCAAGGTGGACGGATGACCTTTCGGACGTGACAATGGGTGGTACGACCATAGGAATCGCACGCACATAGGTTAACACATACGGTGTAGTTTAGTTGTGTTATTTTACCGCTTAGGCAAAGAGAAAGGTCGCGCACGTTGGCCGTACCCATAGTCATCAACAAACGGGTTCACATAAACGGCTTTTCGGGGAGAACAGTAACAATTGATATCATCAGATTCGGCCAGCATCAATATACCGACATTATACAACACATAATATATTATTTTGTTTATTCATATAATATATGCGGATAACCCTCGTCACCGTTTACAGTGGCCCAATACGGATTGATAATGTTTAAAGTAATACACGAGTTTTAATAATTATTATTGTAAAAAAATATTCGGCCACCTCTGTAAACGCGACCGATTCCTACACGACCAAAGGATGATACCTATACTTTAAAGCCAATCGTGTGCGGTTGGCGACATGACAATACTAACAACGACAACAACAACAGGTTTATGTGAATGTTTATCGTGAGACGCGCGCGCGCACGTGAAACTTTTGGGGTCCAAGTTCAGCGCTGTCGGTCGGCGGCCGTTGCGGCCACATTATCGGTATACACGCCTTGTGCCGCTAGCCGTTTACAAGGTGTTTGGTTGTAAAACGGACCGGTGGGAAAATATATAAAATACAAAGAAGAAAAAATAACGAGCCGGCGCATACGCACGCACGCACACGTATATATTATAATAGTTCAATGTAATTCAATGCGTCGAAAGAACGATAAAATATTTGTATTATATATATATATATATATATATGTAAATAATATTATATTATTTTGAAGTAACTAAAATCGCTCGGTTTTCTTCTATATTATATTATATACATGAGAGATAGAGAGATAACGGCGCAATTATTTTACTTATTAGTATTTAAATAATATAACTATATTGTGTTGTTTTCTCGATTAACGAGCGGCGGCGGCGGCGAAAACCTACCTACATCGAACATATAATACCTATCTACATCAAATTATATCGATAATATAATATTACTTTTTAGATGTAGGTTTATTTCCATATGCGTTGATAACGAGTAAACCTCCCGGCGGCGGGCCCCTCCAGACACCGCGGAGCCAGGCGATTAATACGTTTAAAAAAAAAATGAATAAATAAAAAAAAACCAACTTAGGGCACGCGGTCGTCACGCCGATTTTGATAAAACTGCTTGGACGTACCTGTGAGACGGTCTTTGTCGGTTTTCATGCCGACAAATCTGGCGCCGGCGTATATTGTTTAGTTGTGGTGTCGACGAAAAAAATAATCATAAGTATAGGCGGCGGATCGCTGAGTCGTGCCGTTGTCGTCAAGTCGGTTTTTTGTACGTCAGTCGACACCACGGCAACGTGTATTGTGTATGCGTTTTTGCGAGCAGTTGTGATCGGCGCACGAAATACGGACTTGCCGGTAATAGACGCATACGCCGGTAATCCGGCGTGTTGAGCCGACGGGCAACTGATAACGACCACGGCCGGTTGGAACGCGGCGTGCACTCGGGTCTGTTTAAAAAACATACATGTCCGTCAACGATATACCGATGCGATGAAAACAAATTAAACCGTTATGATAGTACATATTATTCGTATTTATATTTTTTTAGTAACTTTTTTTATTTTTCTATAGTACAGTTATTCAGTTAAAAAAAATAATAATTTATACATTTATTTTAATATAATATCCAAAAACCCGTCTAGCTCTCGTTGCGCGAAAGAATCGATAAAAAAATATAATAATAATAATAATAATGATAATTATAAATAAGAATAATCGTAATCCGTCGAAACGTGTTCGTTTGGCGTAAACGCGTAGAGCGTGCGGTTCGAGAGTGGCCCGTGAACTGATGACGAACACTGGTGTAGTTGCCGGGCCGGCTGGTCGTCGGGTTGGTAAACGCTCCCACCAGGCCACACCACGTACACGGGCGGGTGGGTGGCAACCGGCGGCGGGGATAGCGTGACCACCTATGTGGAACCCCCCACCTTGCACCCCCTAAAAAAACTGCACCGCCGACTTGGGGACGGCCGCGGTTTTGAGGGATTCCTCGCCACTCGACGCGCACACACAACAATACATGTATTATAAAGGCGCCGCCGAGTCATTGTTGTTGTTGGTTTTTTTTTCTTCTTCAATATTATGTATTTCTCGTGGGTAATGGCCATTTTAAGTTCTTTGACTTGGCATTCTTTATTTTTTTTTTCATTGTTTATTTTATGTACATATAAAATAAACATAGTGTAATCAAAGGGTTCTCGACGTCCACAAATATCTGAATCTTATGTCCGGTCGTAGTTTCCTAACCTAACCTAACCGAGGAAAAACGCCATTAACCGGCGTAATTTGTTGAATTAAGAGAAATCTAACACTCTACTCGCAGGGTTGTTGCTCGTCCAAATTACTGGAAGGGTTTCATTCTCTTTCTAAACCTCCCAAATACAGCCTCGTCTTTTCCGCAGAAAACCTCCCCCATACAATTCCCCTGTCTCCTGAATATATCATTAAAATCATAAATGCATTTTGGCAAAGTATAGTAAATCTGTAAACGGGTGACGGTATATGCGAATTTCATGCTTTTTAAAAGAAGACTTGGACACTTGTCTTCTGACTCATCAAGAAGACGTGCTCGGTAATCACGACGTTTATTTTTTGTTAGAAACATAATTTTTCGGTTATCACTAAAAGTACTCACTCTTCAAATACAATAAGTGTGACGGACGTTTTATGGCACGTTCGTAAGAATGTGCCAAGGTATAACAAAAGGTTTTAACAAATGTTTTTTTTCATATATTACAACAACAGTACTCAGTAACAAGCGTTTACTTTTGAACTCGAATTTTAAAATTTAAACCAGACGACGAAGTAGCTTTTATCAAGCTGGTAAAAATTTTAATGAAATGGTGGTGTAATATGATAATTTTTTTCATCTTGTCGTAGGCAGTAGGTCCCTTAAAATGTCTGAATCGGGTTATGTATTTCGAGTATAGTAAATAACACACATTATGGTGAAACGAAGCGATGATTCAAAATAAAGGCGGTATGGGCGAGTATAGACAACAAATGAAACAAATATTGGCTCTCTCCCTTCGAATAAAGTATTTAATAAAACTTATCTCATGTCTCCCCAACTTCATTGGCTAATCTGCCTCTGACGCTGTATTTCTAAGTATTGTACTGTTTTATTTTAGTAGATTTATTTTGGGATCAAATTGTATTCTGGCAATTTCTATTTGTTATAGTGTTCTTACAACTCGTTGCCATACAGATTACATTGTCGAAAATAATTTGTTTTAGGGTGGTCGGTACCATAACCAGCACAACTAATTTGGGGACTAGTTATTCTTGTGACAACGGCTCTGTATATTTTATTTTATATATTTTTACATTAAACAAATAGTAGTATCTCAAATATAATTTGACACTTTAATATTTGCTTTAATACATAAGTGTGGTCAATAATATAAGACGTTGAAGATACTAAATAAAAAGTGAAAACTGAAATGTACAAGTTCTGACTTCTGGCGGTGTTATAATATTGTCAACCGGTTGCGCGTCGATATCATGTTCAAAAATCATCACCACTTATTATAACAGCGAATTTGTAAAACAAACACTTGGTATTTTATGACTATAAATTATTATGTAAAAATTAAATTAATAAATTATATTTTTTTTTTAACGAAATAACGGTGTAACTACAATTTTTTTTGTTTAGTATCAAATAAATAAATATGTTTTAAAAGAAAATCGTTTTCCCTACATTACAGGAAGTAAGTAAAACTGTACTATTGGATAATATTATAAGTGTAAGCGTGTTCAAAGTACACACATTAGTGTCAATAGGTTAAAATCAACTTGTTTACTACTTTTATCTTTATTTTAGGTGTACTGAAAACTGAAAAACAAGTTTGAGAGAGGAGAAAAATTGCACGTTTCGAAAATGTTAAGTCCAACCATATAGAAATGTTATTATATAGATTACGCTTAGGCTGTCATATTGACGTAATGCTTCGGGAGACGGATGACAGAAATATTATTGTCAAAGTGTACAAACGACGCCAATAAATTAAATACAGGTTGTAGTTGCCTACTCTAGACACGAGGTCTCGAGTCTCGTACTACGTCCGCCGCGCCGCACACAGATAATAATTGTATTATGTTTGCATTCAATATTGGATATTAATTAGTGTTATAATGATGTATAATTAATTACGCAATATATGTTTTGTTCGATCGTCGGCGTCGTGTCATCCGAACGGTTGTGGACGACCACCGATGTCAGTGCCGTGGCGGCGGTGGCGGCAGACACGCGGACGCCTCCACCGAACACCACAAGAGACCGGTCTCCATTTGATTGGCAGCGGGGGTGTGGTTTCATGGCAACTGGTCCGTGTGTTTGTGCGCCTCGGCAGAGCACCGACGAAGATACCGAACGCGGCAGCGCCAGTATAATATGTACATCATTGTCATCATTATAATAATATTATTATATGTTATATACTTTATTAATGGCAGGTACTATATATTCCCGTCTCCGTCCGTTTTTTATTCGCCGAAATATTTAACACGGCAAATATTTCTAATTTAGATATATATATATATATATATATATATATATACATATATATATTTTTTACAAATTGTATTTAACATGATTATTGATAAGTCTTTTATACGGCCAGGGATAGGCAAAATACTCAAAATCGGCTATTTGAAATAATAAATAAAAACTACCTTAAAAAAGTATTTAAACATGAAATTTACAATACTACACCGGTCGTCGACCCCATTAGCTCTAAGAATGTTGTCTAAAAACTTTTTTAACAACTATATAAATCTCATAGAGGAACATAAAAATCCGTATTCTATACAAAAAAATACTAAAACGCTAATTCACTTTCCGCAATGTATCTACCAAACCGTTTTTGTAAAATAATTTGTTGTTATAAAAGTTATAACCTTTTTAAAATAAAAGGTTTTTGAAATTTTATCGTAAATATTCATATTTTTACTTTTTTTTAGTTCTTCTAATAAATATAAGTAATTTTTTTTAAAAATATATCAAATATATGAAGCATTTTAACTCCCATAAATAAATTAATAATCTTTCTGTAAACAAAAAATTTTAGTCCGTCTAATAGGTAACTTTTAAATTGTAAATCTAGAAAATGTTAATATTTATCTTTAAATTTGTTGGCATATTTAAAATTCATCGTAGTTAAACATTTGTAAAATTTTGCCTATTCTTTGCCTATAATAAAAAGCCCTTTTCTCTTGTTCCTCTTAACATTATTTTAGTTACCGATTAAGATGTATATTATTACTGCCTTCTATAATAGTTAAATATAAACGTACGTATATGAAATTATAAAAGTTATACGAGTAAACAAGTTTTTTTAAAATATTTTTCTTCTTCAGTTAATTGTAAAATAGGTATGAGTACATTTTAAGTCGACCAAAATCAGTGAAACGCGCCGAGGATATTATTTCAACGTGTTTATGCAACAAAATATAATTTATTACCGGCCATAGACAGCGTTTACGGGAAAGGATGTTGTTCATATATATTATTCTTAACGTTTATAGCAAAATTAATGATACAAACCGATTTTATAGAAATTTAATGATCTTTGAATAGTCTGAACATCTAAATGGTAAACTTTTTATTGCTTATACGACTATGTTTTTATAGGTTATAAATTTTGTATTAGTCTCAGTTCAAAAGTGACATATAGTTAAATTTCGGCGATAATAAAACGCGTCCGCCGTCCATTGTGAAATAAAAGTTGATGGCCCCTTGTCGTAATGTTTTATAAATAAAATTACAATTATTATTCTATCGAAACAAACAATCGTTTATTGAGTATTCCTCTCGACTATGATTTTTTTAATATAAAACAACTTTCTCAGCCGTTCACTGAACATTAAACAATATCATTGATTATAAACAGAATAATACAATATAAAAATACAATACAAAAGGTAATATAATCAGACAATATCTGGTTTGAACTTTTAAATTTTAATAACACTTATTTACAGAAATCGTGTATAAATTTAGATATAGACTATAAACCAGCCACTAGAAAACACTCCTTATTCTATTTAGCACCTAGTAATCGTAATTTTGTTATACATAGCCCCGTCAGAAGGATTTTGAGTTTTTGTAATGAATTCTTATCAGATTTCGATTTCTTTTTTGATAATAGACTTAAGCTCAAAAGGTTGTTAAATGTTTTTAACAAATTTTAGTGTATTTATTGTCTATTATTATTTCTATATTTTTATTCTATTACTCATGTATTATTATGTTTACTATTATATTTATTTATATGTTATGATATTATCTGTACTCTCTGCCCTCACGGGCGTTAAAAATCTATTAAATACAAATAAATTAATTAATTACATTGACATTGGCATGTTGATCAATTTTACAAATTCCACACTCATACATTGGCGCAACTATAGAGGTGGATTTGAAAGAACTTTAAGTACTCACTTAAATGAACAGAAATGGAAAACAAAAATTTGAGTAAAGCATGAATTCAGAACCACAGCACATCAAAAAATAAGGACGAAGTGGGTGGATTTAAAACAATGATCAAGATCATAAAATAAGTCTTATAAATCATACCGAAAATCAATTTGTTTAAATCTTTTACAGAAGAAATTAATTTCTTTAAACAAGAGTCTCGCTGTTGTGTTTTGTAACATAAACATGTTAGATCCCTAATTATAACCTCCAGCAACGTTATCCTAGTGGCGTACATGTATACGAATTGTATGCATGTTATACATAGCTTAATAAATAGGACACATAATATCGTGTATACTATGCGT